ATCTTAAAGCTGATGAGCAATCATGTAAGGTACAATTGGTCTCTCCATTTGTGGGAGAAAGAAGAGTGATAAGAATTGAAGATGTTGGAATCAGTTAGTCCAATGGACTAAGGGAACGTCAGTCTTCACAACTGAGACCAGAAGAACTAGATGGTGTCCAGTTACCAACCACTACCAAAGGTTCTGAAAGGGATCACATTAGAAGGTCTTGGTTAAAGTGGGAGAAAATGTGGAACAAAACTCAAAATTATTAATAAAAATATTTTTTAAAAAAGACCATACACGTGGTGCTGTAGGATCAACACTGGACTGCAAACCACAAGGTCAGCAGTTCAAACCCACCAGCTGCTCCTTGAAAACCCTATATAGGATTGCTATGAGTTGGAACCAACTCAACGGCACTCAACAACAACTGGTTAGAAAGAGACTGGAGAAACCTGAGACTATGACCCTTGACAACCCTTCAGGTCTAAAAAGGATCCCACCCTCGCCCAATTTTCAGCCAAGAAGTAGAAAAATATATGGGAGGCACAACAACACTGAGTTTTGTTCCCTATGGTAAGGACAGTAATTCAGAAACAAAAGGGCAGCATTTACCTAAGGATGGAGTTGAGAAGGGGGGATGGAAAGGAAGGGGGATGGAAATGGGAACCATTTGCATGCAGGGGATTTCAGTCATTGAGATGAAACAAAGTGTATGACTTGTTGAATGTAAAACCGATGATCTTGTTTATAAACCTTTACTCAGTTTACAATAAAAAGTTTTTTTTAAAAAAGACCAGTCTTCAATGGGAATACACGCTGTGATTGGTGACCACACTCGACACCCATAAGGGGAAGTAAGGGAAAAACAGCAATGAAGCAGTGAGCTAAGCCCTACAACGTTCAATAGACTTCTGTGAACCCGGGTGAATACCTGGTTAGCCAGCAGTGTGGTAAGACCTGGGGACTCTTGGGCCCAGAGTCAGTGACATAGCCACAGAGGGCTAGAGTGGAAAGTGAAGCGTCCAGCTGATAAGAAGAGAGGGCATATGCATAAGAACACCCACACTTGCAGATAATACCCACTTATCCTGGCTTCAGTGACTGGATGATTAGAGCTCAACCAGAAGTAAACAGGAGAGGGGAAAAAAAAAGTATTCTCATACAATTTGATGAATTTGACCTACACCTATGGAATTAGTAGCTCAAAAGAGGGAACAAGTCCTTACAGCAAGACTCATTCCCACCCTATCCTCATAAAGAGTAGACAGGGATGGGCAACTTGGACATTGGTTACCCAAAATGGGGGGTGGGGGGCTACAAAGGCAAGAAGTGACTGGCTTACAAGCTTTCAAGAGGGAACCTAGATCCAGAGGGCCTGGAGGAAGGTAGAATCTACAGTGAATAGTATCAGTCTGACTAGGCAGAGCTGATGCAATGAAATACAGACGGGTCTCTTGTGATACAATAGTGAATAATTGTTATCAGGACTTTGTGAGGGTCAGAAATGTAAAGGTAGATGTTTTATAGCAAGGAGGGGAGTGATTAACTTTTCAGTCTAGGAGTGGAGGTCCCTAGGACCATGAAGGGAGAAGAGAAGAGAGCGGGACCCTACCCAGAGAAGCAGTGGTGCCTGAAATGGAGCCAGAGATGATGACGTGGAGCGATGAGCAGCTGGAGACTTTAGATCCAGAGTGGGAGAGTGACTGTATGCTGAAGACCTGGGGGGTATGGGGGAAGGGTTGCATGGAGGGGATTGTAACCATGGCAATGAGACGATATACGATAGAATGAATGTAAAACTAATGTTCTCCCATGTAAACTATCACATAATTCACAATAAAACATTAAAAAACAAAAACAAAAAACCAGTCTTATTGGTCTGATCGAGACTGATGGAATCTCGAGACTATGGCCCTTGGTCAACTTTTAGGCCTGGAATGGAACTCCCCTGGCTCAACTTTGAACAAAACAATAGAAAGGCCTCTACCAACAACTTCAGAGGCGTATACACTCCATAGAACAACCAACCAAGGCAGTATTTGCTCAGAAAGCAGGAAGGGGTAGAAAAGAAGGGCCAATTGAAATGATAAACAAGGGGAGAAAGTGCGAAGAGTGATGTTACATCATGGGGATTACAATCAGTGTCACAAAATAAAATGTATATGTATTGTTGATTGGAAACCAATTCACCCTGTAAATGTTTATTCTAATTACAATTTAAAAAATAAATCAAACAACGTATTACATTGGGCAAACCTGCTCTGCTGCAAAAGACCTCTTTAAAGTATAAAGCACAAAGATGTCATTTTGAGGATTAAGGTGTGCCTGACCCAAGACATGATGTTTTTAGTCACCTTATATACATGTGAAAGTTGTATAATGAGGATGCTTGGAAGACTGTAAAAGAATTGATGCATTTGAATTAATGATGTTGGCAAAGAATATTGAAAGTACTGTGGACACCAAAAAACAAACTGTGTTGGAAGGAGTACAGCCAGATTGCTCTTTAGAAGCTAGGGTGGTGAGACTTTGTCTCAGGTACTTTAGATAGGATAACAAGAAGCACCAATCCCTGGAGACGGCCGTCGTGCTTGGTAAAGTAGAGGGAGTTAGGAGGAAGAACCTCAGTGAGACAGATTACCACAGTAGCTGCAACAATAGACTCAAGTACAGGAAAGATTGTGTGGATGGTGCAGAGCCAGGCTGTGTTTGTTCTGTTGTAATGAGTTGGAACCAACTTGATGGCATCTAACAACAACATATTGATGTATGCTGATATTTTCTGTTGGAAATATTTTCTAATTAAAAATTCATAAACTTTTAAAAGCTTTTTTTTAAAAAAAGCTTTTTAAGTAAAAATGTCCATGCATAACTCTTAAGCATCCCTAACTAGCTACCAACAAGATGGATATGAAAGGTGAATGATTGCTTTTCCTCAGTCAGGAATTATGAACAAGGGGCTTTCTATAAGTTAACATTAATTGTGGTAAGTATAGGTGTGGGGCCAAGCGGGGAAAGGATCAGAGCAGCCACGGACGCCTGACAGAGCCGCAGAGATAGAGGTGTGGACATCCTTTTTTTTTTTGTATCTTTTTGTTGGTCCCTTGCTGTCTGCGTACCTCCATTCTGGTTACTATAGGGGTGCCTGAGCTAGTGGATAA